GGCGGCGACGCGAGCGGCTCCGCGGACCCCAGCCCGCGGCCCGGCGGATCCCTGAGCCGCCGCGGCTTCGGCTGCTGCGCCGCGCGCGCCGGGGGCCATGCAGCCCCCGCTACCTCGGCCGCTGCCGTGGCTGCTGCTGCTGCTGCCGCTGGGCGCCGTGGCGCCCGGGCCAAGTAAGTAGGGCCTGGGGCCCCGGAGGCCAGAGGAGGAAGCTGCCGCGGCGGGTGGGGTCCGCGGGGTCCCCCGATCGCGTGGGGTCCACCGGGTTCCTTCACCTGGTGGGGTCTGAGGGGTCCCCCGATCGCGTGGGGTCCATCGGGTTTCTTCACCTGGTGGGGTCCGCGGAGTCCTTGGATCGCGTGGGGTCCACGGGGTGCTACGACCGCGTGGGTCTCAGAGTGTTCCTATCGTGTGGTGTCCGAGGCTCCCGAACCTGGTTGAGGTCCTCGGGTTGCGGGAGCGAGCGGGTCCCGCGGGGAGCCCGCAGTGGTGGTGGGGTGGACGGTGGGGAATTCCGGGCAGTGTATGGTCTAGGAGCTGAAGGACAGAAGGGAGCCGCCCGACAGCCCTCGCCTCGCGCGGCGACCCGGCCCTGGCACATCGCTCCCGGGAAGGGGACACTCACATTTCGCCTCTGCAGCGGCTTTCTTCCCACCCCCGCGGCACCTGTGCCTGGAATCTGAGCGCGCCCCAGACTCCCGACTTTTTCAAAATGGACAAAATAAAATTGGAACCCAGGGCTTGGGAAGGGACCGCCTCTGCTGACCACAGATTCCACCCCGGCCATACTGAAGTTAGCCCCTACCTGGGGTACCCTCCCCAGTCCTGCAGTTGTGGGGCAGAGACGTGGGTCGTGGACGTGTGACCCGGACTCAAATCTTCCTTTGGCCAGGGCATGTTGGATATTCAATATGAAATCCAGATAGTCAGTTCCCAAGATCACGTACATGGGGAGCGGTATGCAGGGTAGTACCCAGAAATGGCTGGGTCCCTTCAGTTGAGAGGGTGTGTAGTGTCAGCGCCATACTTTTAATCCTAGCTCTGCCCCCACCCAGACAGACCCTTCTCTGGGCTCAGTCTCCTCCTCACTTGGGCACCAGCTGACCTCACAGCCAAACAAACATGAAAACTAGGAGAAAAGAGTGGGAGAGACCTCAAGGAGGAAGATGCAGATAGAAGCACGGGTTCTCCCGATGTTTACGTGTTTGTGCTGTGCTGGGTTCTTTCCCATGGACAGACTAATATGGTGGGTTGAATAGCACTTATGTAGTCTCAAGAATTTAGAAGTTCCTTCCCATTCGAAGTAGTAATGTGGTGTTGGGGATTTTTCCCCCCAGAATGTTAGGGGGTACACGTTTTGTTTACATACTTTGTTTTTGTACAGATTGAGTCATAGTTACACATGTAAGTGTGCCCTTTGCCCAGATAGTTTTTGCTTATGTTACGATTAGCTGCTTTTCCCTGGAAGTCAGATAAATGAGTTTGAATCCTGACTCTGCCACTGTCCAGCTTCAGTCTTGAGCAACCTATGTGTGTGCCTCCCTAGGCCTCCTTTAGGTGAGCTTTGGTGACCGCCCAAGCTGTGTGGTGAGCAAGTGGCAGGACTTTGGATCTATGTAGCACTGACTGGTGGTCTGTGGACTGTTTGTAACTCACCTGTGATGAGTCAGGAGGTTGGGAGACTTATTTGGAAGCTTCATGTTTTGACATTGCCACAGCATCTGGGTCCCTGTCTATCTTCAGATGATTGACTTTTGTTGCGTTCTACAAAAGTTTTGGTCTGTGTGATGCATTGGAAATCAGATCCACAGATCCTTTGATGAGTAGTAGTAATGCTTTATACTGATCTCTATCTTTCAGCTACTTGAAAATGTTCTTGCAAAACAGTTAAAAAATTTGGTTATTTTTAAGATAGACCATTTCTAAGTCAAAACACAAAGTGAAAATATTAACACTGATTATATGGTAAAGGGATAGTAAACTGTTTCCACATTTTTCCATAATTTGTCAGGGTCCTTTAGTAATCATGAAACTACTTTTATGGTCACAGGGGAAGAAAAAGGAATTTTTTAAAGAGGGACTTACGGAACTTACCTGTTAGAGTTGTTATGAGGAGAGCCCCTGTAAAATAGTGAACCCCACAAGATTCATAGCAATGCTTTGTTAAGGGGTGGCCATTTGCTCTAGATCAGCAGTTCTCAACCTGTGGGTCGTGACCCCTTTGTAACAGTAAAAATACATCCTGCATGTCAGATATTTACATTACAATTCATCACAGTAGCAAAATTACAGTTATGAAGTAGCAATGAAAATAATTTTATGGTTGGGGGTCACCACAACATGAGGAACTGTATTAAAGGGCTGCGGCATTAGGAAGGTTGAGAACCACTGTTCTAGATGGAAAATGTAACCAATAGCACAAAAGCACAGTAAGTCAATTGGCTCTTTGGTTATTTAGTTACCTGAGTATCGAAGCATTAAGGCTTCTGTTTGTAACTATATGGATGTACCATACCACATCCAAGGCTTACAGTGTACTTAAAGATGCCGAGAAAGACAGTAAATCCTCAACAACATGAAATCATTGGAAGCCAGGGAACAACAGGAGAACTCCTGTTTGTCCATAATCACAGCAATTGAAACAATCTTGTAGCTGGAATGTTTTGGGCTAACTTTATAAATGATAAGGATAGCTACAATTTGTGGGGCCACTCGTCTAGCTCAAAGTACTAAGTACCTTTTTTACATTATCTTTCTGAATTTTCTCAACCATTCTTTTGACATAGGTAATATGCCCATTTTACTCCCAAGAAGGCAAAAGCCATTCTTTATAGAAAGAGACAAATGATCTAGATAAATACCTTTATGTGTAGTATTTCCTGAAGAGAACAACTTCCTGTGAATGGCTGAGGAATCAGGAAATGTTTATACTTCACCTCCCCTGCAGGGTGCTAGAAGTGGGATCACTGATGCTCATCTAACTGGTTTTCATCATAATGCTCCCCAAGATCTTGAACAGTCAGTCCTCAGTTGTAGAGATTAAATGATTAATGTTAATTTTATTAATTTTATTACCTATGTGTGATGTAGATTGACCAAACTATGCCCTTAAGACAGGCTATCTGGCTGGGCGCCTGTGGCTCAAATGGCTAAGGCACCAGCCACATACACCTAAGGTGGCGGGTTTGAATCCAGCCTAGGCCCTCCAAACAACAATGATGGCTGCAACCAAATAAATAAATAAATAAATAGCCAGGCATTGTGGTGGGCACCTGTGGTCCCAGCTACTTGGGAGGCGGAGGCAGGAGACTCGCTTGAGCCCAGGAGTTGGAGGTTGCTGTGAGCTGTGATGCCATGTACTCTACCCAGGGGGACAGCTTGAGGCTCTGTCTCAAAAAAAAAAAAAGATGGGAAAGGGAGCCAGAAAGGTTGGCTCCAGAGAGACCAGAAGGACAAAGCCAACCAGCCAACCTCGCTGGAGGAAGGGCCCTAAGCCAAAGAAGAGGAGAGGCCTCTAGAAGCTGGAAAAATCAAGAAATTCATTTTCCCCTGGAGCTCCAGAAGGACCACAGCCCTGAAGATAGCATGACTTTAGCCCGTGAGACCTATCTTCTCAAACTGGTTTTGCATGTTTTTTTTCCCAGTTACTCAGACTTTATTTGGGAGATGAAAGAAGGGGATGAAAGATGATTGATAGCTGTAGTTAAATTAACAAGGTGAGGTGAATTGAGGTGTCCTTCCTCCTATTTTTCTTGGTAGTGAGGAGGATAATACGGTGTGAAACTGTTGTATCCAATTTCTTTTGTTTATCAGAGAAGGCCGTTAAGTGATTTTGCCTTAAAGATACAATTGGGGAGGGGTGTAGGTTTGAGGCTTGGAGTTTCTTCCCTCTATTGTCTGTCTGGGTGTTATTCAGGAATCACTTGGGGCTACCAGAACAAATTCTAAAAGACAAAAGAGCATAGTGTATGAAAATTCACAGTTTTGAAGCTTCCTATGTAATGAGTTGGAGTCTGGAGCCCATGATGGGCTGGACTTCTAGGGAGTTCACCTTGGGTTCAAGCAGGCTCTTGAAGTCTGTAGGTTTGAGTACAGAGAGATGACTCCAGGATAAGATTCCTAGCTCAGCAAGTTCTCAGTGATATTGAAGGCACCCAGAGGATATCCTAGGAGCTGCGGCTGAAGAGGGAGCAGCTTTGAGCAGGCTTCAAGATTGAAACAGCTCCCGGATTTTCTGGATGAAAAGGACCAGCACCAAAGAGGAAAGGAAGGGTGTGTTCCTATTTCAAACTTCTGGCTTTCTGAACTGTAACATAATAAATCTCGGTTGTTGCTTTTTTTTGTTTGTTTTGTTTTTGTTTATTTGCTTTTTAGAAACGAGGTCTCACTATGTTGCTCAGGCTGAGGGCAGTGGCTATTCACAGGCGCAAACATGGAGCACTACAGCCTCGAAATCCTCGGCACAAGTGATCCTCCTGCCTCAGGCACTGGCAGCTGGGACTGCAGGCATGCACCACTGTGCCAGGCTAACCCTGGGTGGCTTTAAGCCTCTAGTTTTGTGGTGATATGTTATAGCAACCATAGGAACCTAACACAGGCAATGAAAGGATGTCTCTGAGATTCTTTGATGGGTGCCCAGTGCAAAGTAGATACTCACTCCATAGGGGCTACACAGCCCTCCCTGGAAGCAGGCAGTAATCTGCTAGGTCACAGAAGCCATGGTGTGTGCCAGGTGCCTTCAGCCCAGGTCATCGTGAGGCCTTCTGTGAATTGATAAGTGTCGAGTTAGCTGGGTGAATAAAGGCCAGCTAGAGCTCTCTAGTGTGGAGAGGATGGGCATTCTGCAAGTGGCTGCAGACGCTTGGCAATGTGTCTTTCAGAAGAAGAGCCTGGGGGTCCTGCTGTCACCTGATCTGGGCACTGCCCTAGGAGGTTAAGGACCAAAAATGAGAGACATGAATGAAAGGAATCAGAGTCCAGGTTCTGTGTGGGCAACGTGGCCTTTATTCATTCGAGTGCCAGTGGGCTGAGTCCAAAAAAGATGTCAGCACGTGGGTTAAGGCGGGCGGGAACGTAGGAGTTCAGAGGGGTGGGGATTGGTGCGTTCATTCCTTCCGGGCAGGTTCTATTTGGGAGGGTCCCTACGTTTGGCTCTATCATGTGTTTCAAGATTGGAGGCATTTACTGCAAATGTGTGATTTGAATTTTCTGCTTTGAATTCTGGACCTGAATGTGTTCTGAACCCTTCTTTCCAACTTCTGGGCATTTCTCATTAATCTTTAATTCAGAGAAAGTATTATCCTGAATGTGTTTTCTTTCTGGCAAGAAGGTCCTCTGTGAAGTATCTGCTGAGAGGGTGGGGGGAGACTCGAGCCTGTTTCTCTCCAGAGAGGGATTCTGGTATTGCCCCAACAGGCAATTATCCTTTCCTGGGAAGTATGCCATTTCTTTGATTATAGTTCTCAAATTTTACTCTGCATAAGAATCAGCTGGAAAACTTGTTTAAAATGCACATTTCCTGGTGTAGGGTGAGGCTTGGGAATCTGCATTTTAATGGGAACCCTAGCGATTATGATGAGAAACACCACAACTCTGGTGACATCTTCCCGTGTGCCCTTTGGGCTTTGCTTACCTGATTTGGGGGTGTTTGTGTGTGCACATGTGTGTTTGTGGAGGTTTACCAAATACTCCCTTGGTACCGAATCTGGGGCTGAGCGTCCCATGCTCACCAATGTAACTTCATCACAGCTCCATAGGTTCACTATTACTTATCCCTTATTCCTGAAGCAGAGACTGAGGCTCAGACAGATCAAGTAACCAGCCCAGTGTCAAACTCACTGCTGGCGGAACTGGGAACTGGGATCGCAGTCCAGCCCGGCTCTAGGGCACAGGGTCTGATGATAACAGATAGGACCGCAGACTGGAATGCCACACCCAGCACCTCTTTTCTTTTTAGTGACTGTGCTGGTAGGGCCATCTTTATAGTCAAAGGTGGAGCTAGAAGCAGGGTATACCCGGGGGGGACAGGTAATAAATACTATTTCTGCACTTTGACAGAAACTAAGTTGTGCAGATGACTTTGGTAATGTACATTTAAATATTTTTGTAATTGATTTTTCTCTTTTGAACCTTTTCCACCTCTCTCTCCCCTCTTCCCTTCTCTTATTCTCAATCCCTCCCAAGATTCTCTTTCCCAGCTGCCTGCCCCTCAACACCCGAGGATTCACCTGTACAACGCCAAGCAGGTTCTGAGTTGGGAGCCAGTGGCCCTGAGCAATGACACAAGGCCGGTGGTCTACCGGGTACAGTATAAATAGTAAGCTGGACATTTCTGTTGGATCCTTACTGGGTGCTATGGGTGGGCTGTAGGAACCCTCAGCAGGGTAGTCATCAAACCCATGGGAAGCAGATATTTCTCAGTTTAAAACCTCCAGGGACAGAGATTTCACAACCTCCCACTGATCAGAAAGCTTAAATAACGCTGACAGTGAGAGAACTCTGCTGTCTAACCACATGGCTTCTTGTTTTGGTGAAAGTTTATTCTTGCACTGGTTTCAGGAGAAGGGTTGCAGAAAAAGAAAGAAAAAGGCTTCCTTCTGGTCATGGAAGAGCAAGAGGCACCTTCTAGTTTTTATCTTGAAGTTAAAGCATCTGATTTATTTATGTTTATAGATAAAATATGGCCTAATCAATAATTCATTCAGTTAATTACAATGAATTCTATTTCTTAACCAGTTTTCCATTTTGTGCATTATTCCGACCTCCTCGTTCCATCTCTCATCTCCTTTCAACCTTTTCCAGAGTTGGCCATCACTTAATTTACGATATATTATAAATCCGTGTAGAAAGAAGATAGGTGGGTGGGTGCTGTGACTCATGTCACATCTCCCATTGCTTTGAGAGACCAACGTGGGAGGATCCCTTGAGCTCAGGAAACCTGCCTAAGCAAAAGCAAGAGCAAGACACCGTCTCTACTAAAAATAGAAAAACTAGCTGGGCTTTGTGGGGCATGCCTTTAGTCCCAGCTACTCCTGGAGGCTGAGGTAAGAGAATCGAGGCTCACTTGAGCCCAGGAGTTTGAGGTTGCTGTGAGCTAGGCTGGCACCCCTGCACTATAACCTGGGGGAAAAAAAAGAAGAAGGAAGGAAGGAAGGCAGGCACAGTGCAAGTCCTTAGTTATTACTTATTTACCTTGCCAAATAGGTTAATCGAAGATAAAGGTAAAAGCATTATACTACTAAATAAAATGTAAAGAAATGCTGTGCTCAGTGTTTATGAGGATGAGATTGCTGGGTGCAGGAGGAAGTAGCATGACCTTTTGGAAAGTAATTGTGCTCTACGTTTGAAGAGTCATGGAAATGTCCATTTTACTTCTGTCCTGAACAGATAATCCAGACCCTCGTCAGATGAAAAAGAAATAAAAACTAGAATCATTGACATGTGTATTTATATTCGTCAATAAGAAAATGGCTAATGTGGCATGCTGGCTTATGCTCGAACAGGAAACCCTAGGCAACCACTAGAAAAGATAAATTATATGTCAACTGATAGAAAGTGCAACTATGTAAAATTTGGGAAGTCTTTATGGTCAAGAATAGAAAGATAATGTAGAAAAATTATAGGCAGATGATTTGTTAGAGAAGTAAGTTTCCAAATAACATCGTATCCATTTTACTTATTTTATTTTTTGTAGACATGGGGTTTCACTGTGGTGCCAGGCTGGTCTCCCACTCCTATCCTCAAGTCATCTTCCCTCCTCATTGTCCACTATAACAATATTTGTTTAATAAAAAAGATGCTAACTTGGGCTTTGAGGGTTATCCCCAAATAACATTTATCTGTGCCTCCAGTAACTCTAAATTACCAACATTAAGTCACTCGTGATAAAAGGAGTAATTTGCTAGGACTGGCTACACAGTTTTCAGAGCCTAGTGCAAAATGAATGTGTGGGACTCCATGTTCAAGCAGTATTAAGAATTTCAAAACAGTGATCCTAGCACTCTGGGAGGCTGAGGCAGGTGGATTGCTTGAGCTCATGAGTTCAAGACTAGCCTGAGCAAGAGCAAGTCCCTGTCTCTACTAAAAATTGAAAAACAGGCAAGAGGATTGCTTGAGCCCAAGAATTTGAGGTTACTGTGAGCTATGATAACACAGCACTCTACCATAGTCTCACTGACAAAGTGAGACTGTCTAAAAAAAGAGAGAGAATTTCAAAATGGCAACCACAGAGCATCAACACAAGTGCCCTTTCAAGAGTGGGGCCTGGTGTGACTGCACAGGAGCAAAGCCAAAATTACATGGAGCACTTTGTGGGAGACCTTAAAGTTTAAATCATGGGTTGCGGTTAGTAGTATGCAGTCAGTTTGGCTCCAGTATATAGTTTTTTAAAATTGTTGCCAACATTAAGAAATCTAGAGATTTCACTTAAAAAAAAAAAAAAAAAAGGCTCGGCCCCTGTGGCTCAAGCAGCTAAGGCGCCAGCCACATACACCTAAGGTGGCAGGTTTGAATCCAGCCCAGACCCGCCAAACAACAATGATGGCTGCAACCAAAAAATAGCCAGGCGTTGTGGCGGGCGCCTGTGGTCCCAGCTACTTGGGAGGCTGAGGCAGGAGACTCGCTTGAGCCCAGGAGATGGAGGTTGCTGTGAGCTGTGAAGTCATGGCACTCTACCCAGGGGGACAGCTTGAGGCTCTGTCTCAAAAAAAAAAAAAAAAAAAAAGCTGATGTCTGGCTTTTCTCTAAAATGCAGGCACCTGGGCAGCAGAACTCCTTCCAGGTCACACCTCCTAGTCTACTGTCAGGCCCACTCTCAGCCCTGCCCAACCCAGTCTTCTCAAAACATCTTTTAATTTCATTTTTTTCTGATTTTAATAGCAATCCACATTCTTTATAGAAAATCTGGAAAACCTCCCAAAATACTATAAAACTAAAATAACCTATTATTCTACACTCCCAAGAATAACCACTTTTCTCATTTTAATGTATTTATCCCTAAGACTTTTGTTCCTAAATGCATCCACTTGTTTGGAAATGTGTGTGTGAGAGCCAGGCATGGTGGCAAGCGGCTGTAGATCTCAAAGAGATTGAGGTGGGAGGATCTCTTGAGCCTAGGAGTTTGTGTCCAGCCTGGCCAACATAGCAAAACCCAGTCTCTAAAAAAGAAAGAAAATGTGTGTGTGTGTAAAACAAAACAAATGGGGTCACACTTTGAGTTCTACCTCCTTTGTTTTTCTGTTTAACTTAATAGGTAAGTATGTGAATTTTTTGTTTGTTTTTTATGAGACAGAGTCTCATTATATCGCCCATGGTGTCACAGCTCACATTCACCTCCAGCTCTTGGGCTTAAGCGATTCTCTTGCCTCAGCCTCCCAAGTAGCTGGGCCTATAGGCACCCACCACAATGCCCAGCTATTTTTTGGTTGTAGTTGTCATTGTTGTTTGGCAGGCCCAGGCTGGATTTGAACCCACCAGGTCTGGTGTATGTGGCTGGCACCCTAGCTGCTGACCTATAGATGCTGAGCCTAGATCCCAAGTTTTTGAGCAAATCTCAATTTCACAGAACAAATTCCTTTATTAAAGGATTTTTCTATAAAATTTTGATTCAGTTAAAAGGCCACACTCAAGGATTCAAAAGGCCACATGTGGTTCTAAGGCCGAAGTTTCCCCACCCCCTGTACATGAATCATCTCTGCTTATTTCCTTACATTTCTGGAAGAGGGGTTGCTGGGTCAAAGGGGACAAAGTCAAAATTTTTGCAGGTGACCTAGCAGAGGCTGGATGTAGCGGCCGAGTCGCACAGGTGCCTAGCCTTGTTCTCCATCGCTCAGGGACAGAGCGAGGGATGGAGTCTTGTCACAAGCAGGGCCCACATTGCACTGGAGGAAGAGCCACTCACATTGCCATCATGGGGTGGGGGCAGGGAGGAGGTTAGAGTATCTTTAAGTAGCTGTATACCCTGAAAAAGAAATTGTCTGCCCCTTCGGAAACACGCCCCTCAGACATCCATTCTGAGAGGATGGGGCTGTGGTTTGGGGTCCCTCTCCCCATTAGGATCTGTGACCCTGGGGTGGGTGTTACTTGTATATGGCCAGCATCTTGAAGTGGCTTTCATCTTTGGACTTGTCACTTGACACTTGGACAGAAAGCACAGCTTCCAGGGCCCGGGGGCAAAGAGGAATCCTCAGCCTTGTCTCCTCTGTCCTCCTGGCCATGCTTTCTGGGCCAAAATTGCTGTCCTAGAGGGGACACTGCCCACTGCCCCCCACTCAGGCTCCTAGCAGCCACTCCTTGGCTTTTGTGAAGTCTGTCACCTATGATAACAACAGAAGTAAGACATAGGGCTAGAGTCCCATGCGGGGGTGTGGCATTAAGACTCCGAAATGTACTATCACATGGATGGATGCCCGCAAATATGGTAGGACTTTCTTATGGGCGAGGCAAACCCTCTTTAAATCAGCCACTATGGATTGAATACAAACTCCACACTACCAGGAAGCATGGATGGAGTTTGCATTAAGTATCATTCCTAAGACAGGCTACAGAGACTGAGCTTGCAGCATTAAAATCAGCTGTGGGATAGAATGGGCGAAGGTGGTTGGAAATCATTGATAAGGGCTTTATATCCAGGATATATAAAGAGGTCTTAGAACTCAACAATTAAAAGACAAATAGCCCACTTAAAAACTAGGCAAATATGGCTCGGCGCCTGTGGCTCAAGCGGCTAAGGCGCCAGCCACATACACCTAAGGTGGTGGGTTCGAATCCCCCAGCCCGGGCCCGCCAAACAACAATGATGGCTGCAACCAAAAAATGGCCAGGCGTTGTGGCGGGCATCTGTGGTCCCAGCTACTTGGGAGGCTGAGGCAGGAGACTCGCTTGAGCCCAGGAGTTGGAGGTTGCTGTGAGTGTGATGCCATGGCACTCTACCCAGGGGGACAGCTTGAGGCTCCATCTCAAAAAAAAAAAAAACCTAGGCAAATAATCTAATTAGACTGTTCTCCAAAGAAGATATATAAGTGGCCAATAAGCACATAAGATGTTCAGCATAATTATTCAACAGGAAAATGCAGCTCAAAACCACAGTGATATACTACTGCACACCCACTAGAATGGCTACTATCAAAAAGACAGATGGCTAGAATTCAGAGAGGCTAAGGCAAGTGGATTAATTGAGCTCAGAAGTTCAAAACCAGCCTGAGCAAGAGCCAAGACCCTGTCTCTACTAAAAATAGAAAAACTAGCCAGGTATGGTGGTGCACACCTGTAGTCCCAGCTACTAGTGAGGCTGAGGTAAGAGGATTGCTCAAGGCCAAGAGTTTGAAGTTGCTGTGAGCTATGACACCACAGTACTCTACCCTGGGTGACAGAGTGAGACTCTGTCTCAAAAAAAAAAAAAAGAAAGAAAAAAAATGGGCACAGTAGCTCACATTTTTAATCCTAGCACTTTGGGAGACCAAGGCAGGAGAAATGCTTAAAGTCAGAAGTTTGAGATCAGCCTAGGCAACAAACCAAAAATATGAAAATTAGCCAGGTATAGTAGCATACACTTATAGTCTCAGCTACCTGGGAGGCTGAGGCAGGAGGATCACTGGAGCCCAGGCATTCAAGGCTGCAGTAAGCTATGATCACACCATTTCACTTCAGCCTGGGTAATAAAGCAAAGGCCTGTCTTTAAAAAAAAAAAAAAAAAAAAGATAATAGCAAGTATTGGTGAGGATGTAGAGAAACTAGAACTCTCAAACTTTACTGGTAGGGAGATAAACTAGTATAGCCACTTTGGAAAATAATCCAATGGTTCCTCAAAAAGTTAAACATAGAAAAAAAAATTAAACATAGAATTATCCTGTGTTCCAGCAGTTCCACTTCTAAGTAGATAATCTAGAGAATTGAAAACATAAATACCCACAGAAAAACTTGTATATTCATAGTAGGCAGAAGTGAAAACAATCCGTCTACTAACCGATGAATGGATAAACAAAATGTCTATCGATACAATTGAAGTACTATTACATGCTACAACATGGATTGACTTTGAAAACATGCTAAGTTGACTCAGCACCCATATATCAGTGGTTAGGGCCCCAACCACATACACCGAGGCAAGCAGGTTCGAACCCAGCCTGGGCCTACTAAACAACAATGACAACTATAACAAAAAAATAGCTGGGCATTGTGGTGGGCGCCTGTAGTCCCAGCTACTCGGGAGGCCGAGGCAAGAGAATCACTTAAGCCCAAGAGTTGGAGGTTGCTGTGACCTGTGACAGCATGGCACTCTACTGAGGGTAACATACTAAGACTCTCAATACAAAATGCTAAGTGAAAGAAACCAACCACTAAAGACTCGTCATATAGTATGATTCCATTCAGAACAGGGAAATCGCTGAGGAGAAAGTTAATTAGTGGTTGCTTAGGGCTTGCAGGGGAGAGGCTTGAAGGAAAATGAGGAGTGACTGCTGATAGGTAGGAGAGATTTTCTCCTCTTCCTCTTCCTCCTTTTTTCTCCTCCTGCTCCTTCCTTTTTCTTTCTCCTTCCTCCTTTTTCCTCCTCCTCCTTTGACAGAGTGTCACTCTGTTGCCCCAGGCTAGAGTGCCATGGTGTCAGCCTAGCTCACAGCAACCTCAAACTCCTGTGCTTACGGCAGCACCTCTGGCTCAGTGGGTAGGGCGCCAGCCCCATATACTGAGGGTGGTGGGTTCAAACTCGGCCCCGGCCAAACTGCAACAACAACAACAAAAATAGCCAAGTGTTGTGGTGGGCATCTGTAGTCCCAGCTACTTGGGAGGCTGAGGCAAGGGAATTGCTTAAGCCCAGGAGTTGGAGGTTGCTGTGAGCTGTGATGCTACGGCACTCTACAGAGGGTGATAAAGTAAAACTCTGTCTCTTAAAAAAAAAAACCAAAAAAAAAAAAACCACAGCTCTTTCCCAGACTCCTGGAATGATCACTGGCTTATA